AAAAACAAACAAACAAACACTCAATGGTGGGGAAAACGTGTTTGTTTGTTTGTTTGTTATTTTTATTTTTTTGATTATAAGTTTATCTGTCCATCCCTTAGCTACAGAAAAAAAAGGGTTATTTATAAAAAAAAGGGAAATAAAATAAAATAATAAATTGAATTATAATCTAATAATAAAAACGAAACGTAATTTTTATTTATATTATATTACTTATAACGGAAAATATATATATATATATATTAAAAAGTTGTTGAATGTGAAACTAATTTTCAAAACAGTAGGACTCCATATTAATAATAATAATAATAATATAAAACGCCTTTTACACACAATTACAGACTGCGGTGTCATATTTTCATTTTTTTTTTTTTTCTTCATTCGCCATCAAATCAAACAAATTTGATGACAAGTTTTTTTTTTTTTTTTTTTATTTTTCTTCCCCCCGTCTTTTTTTTTTTTGACAAAACTTTCCTCAATTGTATTTATCATCGCAAAAGAAAATTATTATTTGAAAATTTTCCCAAAAAGTTATTTTTACACACACTCACACGCACACGCACGAAAAGAAATCATAGAGTAAATAAACTTTATTATTACGTCGCGTAAAAAAATTTGTAAAAGGAAAAAAAAAAAAAAAAAAACATTTTTCGAGAGTTTCCGTTTTTTTACTCTATGACTTTAATGAAATCGATGGTGTAAATTTTTTGTCAGAATCGTTTAAAATTAAATTATTATAATTAATTAAATTAAATTAAATTAAATAATAAATAAAATGTTTCTGAAATTAATTTTATAAAAAATAAATAAGGAGATGCGTACACGTGCGTTACGTAATAATAATAATAAATTTGAGATGCAATAATTTTAAATTTTTTAAAAAAAATGGCGGTTATTATTTATTTATTTTTAAATGCGATTTAAATTTATCGTTAATATCGTCTGCTTAATTTTTGATTTGTTCGAACGCGCGCACACATCTCACCTCGATGTGATTAATTAGAATTTTCTTTTGCATTTCGTAGCCATATTGGCTACGTGTAAAAACTCATTCGAAAAACAAAAAAAATTAAACGACAATTAAAAACGTTGGTCTCGGGGGGAAGGAGGGGGAGGGTTTGATTTGTTATTAATTAAAACGACGTAATATCGGGGTAGGGGGGTTGTGTTGTTCAATAATTAATTTAATTGCGAATTTTTTTTTGAATAAAAACATATTTTAAGGAAAAACATTCGTTGTTGTGATTCTCTCGCCGCCATTTTGATAAAAAAAAATTTAGTTATTTATTTATTATTTTATAATATATATTTTAAATTACACGTTTATTCGTTTAAGGTTTTGCAATTAGGTATTTCCGACGACCGACCGACCGATAAAATAATAATAATAATAATAATAATGAATGAAATAAAAAATAATTTTACGTAATTACTCAATAATAATAATAATAATAATAATTTTTTTTTGATTACATTATTACTTTTTTCGTCGTCATATATACATACTTACTTTTATCATTATTATTATTATCATCATTATTATTTTTCTCTTCGGAATTTGAATTTTGGTTACTTGAATGTAAGGAATTTAAACGAATTTTTTTTTTTTTTTAAATTTTTAACCGTTAAAAAAACGAAAACTTTACGATAGGTTAAAGGTTCGAAAATGGCTCCTCACTTAAATAAAATAGGGGGAAGAGGGGGAAGGAGGAGGGGGATAATGATTTTTTATAAGGAGATGGATAATTATGCGAATAATTATAAGTAATGAGTTTCGGTTTTACTTATCAGTCGAGTTTAATAATAATAATAATAATAATAATTTTTTTTGCAATATGGAGAAAGTAGTTAGTTAATTTCGATTGTGGTTTTACGTTAAATAACTTTTAAAAGGGAAAACGCGTCGAAAATTTCCCACACGCACACACACACGCACCCCTTCCCCCGAAAATGTGTAAAAAATAAAAATAAAAAAAAAATTTTTTTCATTGATATGTTTCAGTTCGAATATTATTTAATCGAGTTTTTATAATTATTTGGGGGGGGAAAAGTTTTTTTACGTTATCGTCACTACTACCACCACTACTACTACAACTACCACCTCCACCACCACTACAACTACTACTGATAAATTATCGTGTAAATTTTTTTTTTTTTGCACTGATAAAAAAAAAAAAACGGTAAAACGTTGGAGGCGATGTCGAACGAGGAAATTTTGTTTAAATTCGGGTAAGTTTTCATTACCTTTAATTAGTACTTAACTTACCTTATTATAATTATTATTATTATTATTATTATTAAGCATATATCGTAATGCCGAAAGGAAGGGAAAAATTAACAGGAGGAGGGGAATGGGAAAATACAAAATTTAATAATAATAATTAGAAAATTATAGTTATTGATATTAATGATTGTGCGTGTGTGTGTGTGTGTGCGCGCGTGTGTTTTATTACCCGTAATTCTTCTTCATTTGATCGACGTTTCGTTATTTTAACGAAAGTATTAAAATATTTCCCCCCTCCCCCCAATAGAGAAGAAAAGGATTTTTTATATACCCCGAATCGAGTAAGGAGAAAAGTACCGGGTACCTTTGTTATCAATTATTGCAAATTTCACGTTTTTACTATCTACGATAAAGAATTTCACAAATTTTTTATTTATTTATTTATTAACCCCCCCCTTCCCTTCCCCCCAGGGGGTAATAATTATTACAAGTTTGCTGAAATTATACTGTTACAATAAATAGGAAACAATTCGACCATAAAAAAAAAAAAAATTATGCCAAAGGGCAACGTCTGTTAATAATAATAATAATAATGTAAAAAAGCGTGATAGAAGGGAATGTTGTTTTTGTTGGTTGTTGGTTGTTGTTTGCATGATAGTAGATTTTGGTAGACGGGTAGTCGCCTTGTTATGCTTCCGGCAATTCGGGGTATTTGAAAGCTGTATAACCCGTTTAAATATCTGCAAATCTCGTTTGTTCGTAACGAAAAAAAATTTTTTTTTTTTTGTAATGACCCGTGGACTTTTTTTAAAAAAAAAAAAAATTACCTGAGATCTTAAAAATATTATTAATCGGTTAACGTTCTTAATAATAATAATAATAATAATAATGAAAACAATATTTAATTTTTTTTTGTATTTTTCAGTCATTATTATTATTATTACGTTCCACGATAAAATGGCGAAAGCGTCAACGAACATGGAAACCGTTTTACTTTGTTCGAAATCGAAAAATGAAAATAAAAAAAATAATTCTTACAGATGTTCCGGTTTATTAATCGGCGACCGTTTCGTCATAACAACGGGTATCATATTGATACCTTTTTTAAATAACGAATATTTCGATTTGATAAACAATTGTAATTATTCGAAATTGAAAATGTTCGATACGAATCCGATGAAAAAAATCGGCGTTTGGAGGGAAATTGTTGATCGTACGGACGTTGCCAAATCGAAATCATCGATTATCGAAGCAACGAGTCGATTGGTTGCAATTTGGAAATGTCCTCTGGTGGAACGAACACTTCGAAACGTATTTTTTGATTGGACGATCGAACACGGTTGTACTGGGGAAAAGTCGTTGGACAACGACGAAATTCGAGTCTCTAAACAATTGTTATCGATATTTGCGATACTCGAATTAGAAGACGAGAGGTATGGCAACGTTGGAGAGAGTCGGATCGCGTCGACGTTGACGATGACACTCGAAAAGTTTTTGACGAGGCCCGTGGTGAGAGGGCGGGAAATAAAAATAATATCGACGCCATTCGGAAACGATTTATTTATAAATTCTCTAAGTTCTGGAATAATAAGTAATTTGGTTGGAATTGAAAATTGTTTGATTTTAACGGATGCAAGAACTGTTCCAGGGTGCGAAGGAGCGCCAATTTTTTCATCTATGAAATCAAGGTAAAAACCTTCGAAACTTAACCGACCAACCAATCGAGAATCGAGAATCGATTAATCGAACTCGTGTTTTTATTTTACGCCTAATATTTATTGCTTACAGGCTAGAAAGCATCGGCCTAATAATATTTTTAATAAATCTGATGTAACAAAATGTAAAAATTGCAAACTTTTGTATATATATAAATATATACAAGAAAGGGCAAGTTTTTTTTTTTTTTTGCAAATTTACCTTATCCTAAAGGTATAAATATCGTCCGGATAGTTTTTTTTTTGCACTTCCTTCATTCTCAGGTGAAAATAATAATAATAATAATAATAATTTAAAACTTTGCCCTTTTACTTAAACCTGTATTTAAAAAAAAAAAAAAAAAAAATGTTTTTCGAAATTTATTTTAAATTATTTATTTAAAAAAAAAGTTTATGTAATTATTAATTTATAAATAAATTTGTTTTTTAAAATTTTAATATCTTGTTTTACTTGAATTATTTTTACGTCAGAAATTAATAAGAAAAAAAATCGAGGAAGTTAATAATTAATTAATTATCGATTGATCGATCAATCGATCGATCGATCGATCGATATCGACGCGAACGATTTAACGTTTTTTTTTTTACTTTCAAAATGTCAAAAAAAAAAATTTACAAAATTAATTGATTGGGATATTGATTATTGTTTCAGGTATGATGATAATAATAATTTAATAGGTTTAGTAATTTGTCCTTTGACATGGTGCAAAGGTGAATGGGTTGGATTTACCATCGGAGTTAATCTTTATCCCATTTTAAAGGAATTACTTGGGAAGAAAAAAATCCAGGATGAAAATGTTTTCCCTCATTTAGGTTAATAATTTTATTTATTAACTATTTTTTAAATTGTGTTATGTGTGAGAAAAATAAATAAATAAATACATATTTAATTTACTTTTAGATGTGAATTCTGATATTCCAAAAGATTTGGATGAAATTGTTGTTTTGATTTGTAATAATAATAATATTTGGGGATCTGGAATTGTTTTAAATTCCAAAACCGTTTTAACTTGTTCACACGTTTTGAAAAATGTAAGTAATTGGAAAATTTTGTGTTTGATGAATATATTAAAATATTTAATTTGATTTTTGTGGTTTTTTTTTTTTTTTTTTTTAGGGAGGTGAAGTGTCAGTTTTTTACAAAAAGAAACATCATTCTTGTAAAATAGTTTATAAAACAGATGATGACGTACCATACGATTTGGGTATCGTTCAAAGCGAAAATGAAATTTTTACAAATTTTATTAAATTTTCCAAAGAATTTCCCACAATTGGTAATTTTTCTTTTGAAAAATAAAACTTATACCTGATGATGCCTGATGGTAGTTTTTTAATAAAAATAAATATTTTATTAGGAGATGAAGTTATTGCAGTCGGTTTTCCTTTTTTTTCTGATAAATATGATGTAAATATTCGACCGAGTTTATCAAAAGGTTCCATATCTCTTATTAAATCTAATATGATACAAACTACTTGTTGTATACAATCGGGATTTAGTGGGGGACCATTACTTAAAAATGGACAATTAATTGGTATTGAATAAAACAAAATTTATTATTATTATTATTATTATTAATTAAAGGTTGTGTTAAAATCTTAACCTTTTTTTTTTTTTAGGTGTGATCGTTTCAAACACTAGGGATTTAGGAACAGGAGCTCATTTTCCTCATATAAATTTTGTAATTTCATCAAAAGCTTTTGAAGATGTCATTGTTAAATATTTAGAAACGAACAATGTTGAATTATTAAAAAAACTTAAAGT